TAATCAGCCTGTTTGCATAATAATGTTCATATCAGAGCTTCATTACCCATGGATTGGGAAGAATCAGGTAGACCAGAATAAAGGATAACTTGTTCCTTTGAGATTGGTGAGAAGGGGGACAGGGCAGCAAATAGGTAGTAAGTGGGTAGTAGGTAGAACCAAAAGTTGTCAGCCTTGTGAGGTAGTCCAGACAAGAAGCACACCCAGAAGCACTATTTCTACTTTATTGTAAAGTTACAGTAACAGAATCTTGCAAGTCTGAAAGTACGTTTCTCCTCCGTCACCTTTACAGCCCAACAAACTAGGGAGGGTCCCTTCTGAGACGTTTGCCACAGCTGCATTCCTCCTGTGGGCTAAGCTGCCTCTTAGTCTGGTCTGTTGCCTCAGCTGTGGCTTTTCCCCCTGTCTCCCAAGGTCATTCCCACATACCATTACATAGTAGATGGAGCCAGTCTGCTCTTCTCTGGAACATATCAATCATGAATGTACAAGCTGGATTCAGGAAAGGCAGGTGCACTCTTGCTGGATAATGAGAAAGGCAAGGGAGTCCAGAAATATGTCTGTTTTTGATTTATTGATTATACAAAGGCTTTTGACTATATAGACATCTGTATAGGATGTATACAAAAGCCTTTGTATAATCAATACAAGAAAGGGAAGAAATGGAAACAATAAGAAAAATATTGAAAATAAATTGGTAGACATAAGGAGTCATAGGTTGCTACATATAAACCCAGCAATTGTTTCTGACGAACAATGTAAAAACATAAAAATATTGAGTGGTTCTTAGTTCCTTCCATACACCAACACATTTGCAGTCTGAGAGTAGAAAAACTTTGTCATGCTGATTACTTTTCCCTCTCACGCTCTCTCTCTCTCTCTCTCTCTGCTATTCCACTCTTATTATTTATTCAGTAAATTAAGTAAGCTCGGGTTTATCTCTTGGTGTTTCACATTTATTGCACTGCTTACTTAGATATTTCACTCAGGGAGTGAACTAGAAAACATATCTGCTGAGTTCCCTTGTATAGGATACATAATCTTTTTTTAAAGTATAGTGATTCTTTGAATAAAACCCATGAACATAACATTATCAAATTAATAGTTTGATACTAGTTACAACAGAGAGCTGAGCAGGATCATATATGGGAGCCAAAGCAATTTTTAGCGGACTAACAGAGAAAATGAAGTTGACAGAGCATACATGTCAAAACTGAGCAACTGAACACCTGCAAAATCCATAGCCACCAGTCCATATGGATTCTAAGTCAGGGTGTCATGGTTAGACTCAATGGGTGCTCAACTGACAGCACATCTAGGGAATGGGATGGGATCTGGACTAACTGGGATAGAAAATGTGCCTGAGGCAAGCAGGAAGAGCTTCACCTACTCAAAAGTCATGACTTAGTCCTCATTGTTTAAATAACAGTAATTTTCATTAAGGGCAGAAGTACTCAACTTGAAACCCGAAGAATGCATACAGTCCCTAGTAGTCTTGGGTGTATCCTCTGCAGTCCCTCCAGAACTTGCTGCATATTGTAGCTTTCAGAGTGATAGAAAAGGAAAATTACAAAATATGGGATTAATTGTTTGAACCATATTTAATGACTTCAATGCAGTTTTAATTTAGGTTTTGAATTAGAATTAATTTAAATTTTTATGTTGTGTTTGAACCCCATGCTCCTTTGTCCTGGGAGAGCCCATAGTTTGGATTGTGGCCCTTGAACTTTTAAAAAATGGAGTACAGCCCTGGTTCAGGACTTAGCGTGAAGCCCCTCTTTTTTTTAATGATTTTTTCTGTACGCAGTAAGTTCCTTGGAAGTCTCAATCTTTGCTGCAATACTACACCGAAGCATTTTGCAAGTTGCATTTGGAGCTTAGACCAGACAAAATGTACCTCTACAATGTTGTTCTGGATAGTGAACTCCATGTTCCTTTCTCAGCTTCTCTGTAAATGTCAGAGTGAAGAGTCCAAAGTGCCGTAGTCTGAATAAGAACAAGCAAAGATCTGGTGAAAAATGACCCAATATAAAATCTGTTTATTGCTTGCTATAGAAAATGCCCTTAGCTCTGACCTTTTGCAGCTGAAATGCCAGAATAAACAATATGAATGCTTTCCCACTGTTGCAGGCTGGTAGGTGGGCAGCAAGGTCCTCCTCTGAGAAGGGATGGAGAGAAGAGCATTAAAGTCAGCAAGCCTCCATTACGTGAGCAGCCAAAATTTATCACTGCTCTGGCTGGGTGGGTTGCTTGATTTCCTTCTGTTTAACATTACTTTAGTGCTAAAGATAACCAGTTTTTCTCTGTCTTTTTTTGCTTCTTTTTTCTTACCAAAATTCCTTTTTCTGTTACTCTACTGATTTGGTTTTCTTTTTCTTCTTTTTAGGTGGTCCATGTTGGGAGAAAGGATGTACTGTTGTGTGGGTTATTTCTTTCCTCCTCCTCCTCCTCCTCCTCCTCCTCCTATAGTGAAACTTATTAACAGTAACAGAAAATGAGGTGGGTAGAGAAAGAAGCCAAGCAAAAGCATTCATCCTATAAAAGGGTTAAAACGTAGAAGTTGGTTAAGGAGATTGAGAGACTTGATTTTCATAGCACAGTTCCCCTTTTCAGATCTATGGCAGTCATAAAGAAGCTGGAATAATGCTATTTTAAGCCAGAAGAACCACCACCTTACAGAATCCTTGATGGTTGGGTTTAGTAAGGAGACTTCCTCCTTCTCCACCCAGATTATCCATAGAAAAAGTCTGAAGATGGTACAGATTCGTTGTATTTTTTTAAGCCACTGCTCCCTGGTGGGAAGTTTCATAGCCTCAGTGAAATGAACTTGTGGCTTCAGCTGACTGGCTGTATTGGAAAAGTGTCGGAAGCCAATATATCTGAGAAAAATAATCCAGAAAGAATCCAGTGAGAGTTTGAAGTTGGCTTAGCAGGAATTTTTGGTTCACTGTGATGTTCACCAGGCACATTTCAATAAGATGGAATAGTGTAGATGGATTCCTTGCATCATTTCTTGAGAATAGATTACTAGCTCTGCTGTTAACTGTTCTGAGTAATAAAGGACTAAACTGAATACATACATACATACATACATACATACATACATACATACATATATATGCGCAAACTATCATAGAGTAACATCAAAAAGAACTCCATATAAACTCACACCATCCCCAATACAAGACCTTCCTATCGCAAGCTTCCTTAACCTGGATATCTTCCAGATGGCCATGCTAACTGATGCGTTCTAGAAATTAAGGTCCATAAATCTGGAGGGTGCCATGCTTAGGAAAGGCTACCCTGTGACATCAGTTCACTTGTTCATCTGTACTAATCAAGAATTGAGAAATAGTACGTGTGTATGTGTGAACTGATCCTCTGGACTCTATGGCTACCTAGAAATTTAGTACAGCTTCTCTCCTTTGCCAGTATAATGTTTTCTTACATTATATTCAGTTTGGATATTTATTTGTTTAAGAATCTCTCTCTCTCTCCCCCCCCCCCCCAACTCAAACAATTGTGACTCTGGGCAATCAACAAATAGCAAGAAAATAGTTACATAGTGACTCAAGAAGTCTTCAGGTTAAAATAACAGAGCTTTTTGGGGATATAATGGTAGCCCACGAGCAACAGGACAGGTCATGGCTCTTCCATAGCATCGTGGATGCTAATGCAGCAGCCAGTGGTACTTCCACAATATTCTGGGTAGCAAGTAGCTAAACTTTTTAACTGCACACAACTGTGAGCTGTGAGTTTTGTGAAGACATCTCTAGTGCAGTGCATTGCTGTGAAGGGCATGTACTGTAGAAAGTCACATTCTTCTTCTATGCAGAGGTTGATCATTATAATTTGCACATTACTGTAGAATTGCTCAACAGATCATGATATTTTATGACAGCTGAATAAAAAGAAAAAAATATGGCTGAACCCAAGTCTTTTCTTGTCCGTTGAAATGAAAGTATGCCGTGATTGCTGGAGGAAGATTTTCCTATGCATAACTTGATGTGAGTCTTAGGCTTTCTTTGCTCAGCCAACTGAATTGTCTGATTGTTTATACATGTGCAGTTAAGTCTGCTTTCTTGAATTAGGATCTTCCATCATATAGAGTTGCTTGTTATTAGTTCGGCTTAGGCAGGAGCAATTTTTTGTGGGGAGAAGGTCATTGAAAATGTATGGCATAACTTACGCATCTATAGACAGAGTATAAAATGTGGGTCACAGGAACTGGAAATACCAATGCAGTCTTGGCTAATGTTGAAAAATTTAAGCAGGGTTAAGTACTTGTTGGGAGTACCCAGGGCTATAGGCTAAACTGAGAAGTTAAAAAATCCTAGAAGAAACTAGTGGCAAACCACTTCTACTTTGTTGTCCAGAAAATTGCATGGATGTGTCCAGATAGTCATCAGGAGTCAAGCAAGATAGGGGAGTCATCATCTTTACTGTTTTGTACAAAATAGGGAACTGATAGCATTAACATTTCAATAGATTCTTGTTCTTTGCCTGATATCTAGAGGACTTCAAAGTGCCATGCTCTCCTGTAGAAATCAAAGTCAGCTGTCTTTTTTTCAGCACAGACCACTTCTACCATGGATTATTTTCCTGCTACATACATTTACCTTATTCTACATTTTCCCCCTGTCTAGCAAGTAGGAAAGAAAGTTATCTCCACCCAATTCCTCCGTCTGCTTGGGTCTTCCTAGCTCCCACTGATGTCCCCAGAATGTCCTCCATTATGTATTGTTTTTTTGGCTGATTTTAAGAGCTCCTGTTTTAGGGCATTCACAGAGAGGTCAGAAATTTCAGAGCTCAAAGGAATCAATCCCCAAACTCAGAACAATAAGTAAATATTCAGTAGTTCTAAAATAAATTATAAGTAGGATTTGACTTACGGGTAATGAATAACTCATTGAAGTGCCTTTCAGCATTTAGTAGAAGAATATATCAAACAAAAATTACCTGTGCATTAAAAGTTATTTTCTCTATTTTTTTATTGGCAGCTTGTAGACTATAGAGTTGAATTCAGTAAATGGTGGGTGACTGCATTCAAGACTATCAAGTTTCCTTCCCAGGGAACAGTTTTTGACTTTTATATCGATTCAGAAACAAAAAAAATTGAACCTTGGTCCAAACTGATCCCCAAATTTGAATTTGATCGAGAAATACCATTACAGGTGAGTGATAGATTTATCCGTGAGTGCATGTCTATGAGAGAGAGAGTGCTAGAGACACAAAGATGGTCAGATAAGGATGTGTGATTAATCAGTCTCCAAATTGTTTCTTTTATTTACACATTATCTTTAAAGCCAGTCTTTGCACTGAGAAGCATAGTTTGCTATTTTAGAACACTTAATGATAAGCTGTTAGGAATTATCTGCTTTCATATTTATTTATCACAAACCGATACTGAAATCATTTTGGCGAGAACTTAAGAGATTTAAATTGTGACATAGGAGACAGAGCTTGCTCGAAAGAAGCAAACAAATCACAGAGAAACAACCTGTAATCCTTGGACTTGGTTTGATACTTGATTTTGTTAGTTTCTGTGTATGTACTCTTTTTGTCTAATGGCATTAAAATGTGATTGTTATCACAGATTCAGGTTTTATCTAATGGAAACACATGCAGCTGGGGCCAAATTTAACAAGAAAGCAGCAACTGCTCCGTTATTGTCATTATTATGTTGGTATTATTGCAAGGAATATGTATCCCACTCTTTCTGGTAATGCTACTTCAAAGAAAGCCCACTATAGTCTAGTTTTTAAACCCATCTTCCTCTTGCTTTTCCTGCTCTGCTCATGCTCATTTGCAGTATCCACATTTTGGTTCCGTGTAACACACAAATAAAATTACTATTTTTTGAAGGTTGGGATGTTCACTAAGGATCACCAGGGTAGTTTTTTCCCTCCTTCCATGTGACATAATGTCACGCCTTTTCTGCTGTCTAGAGTCAAAATATGAGAGGACTACTCCCTTTCTCACATACCACTTTCCTAAGCTACCAAAAACACTGGGCAAGGGTTAGGGTGTATCTATCATCCATGCTCCATCTAGCAGCATCTGTTTCTTTCTGTAGCAGTGATATCATGAACTGTTGTGTTTCTGCTTAAGGCTCTGCAGTTGATACAAGTTAATGGTGACTCTCAAGCTGGTGACAGGAGAAGAATGATGCTGGTATGATTTAGAAAGGCAAAAAAGCAAAACACAGGCTATTCTGAGAGTTTTGCAATTTTGGCCTTCTGGACAGTGATTTTGTAATTTGGCCGATTTTAGCTGAAAAGTCTTTACAGGCATTATCAGTCTGATTCCAGTTTACAGTTGCTGTTTGGATTTCCACACCCTATCATTCATCCTCTTGGTGATTTTAAGAATGCAATTGCAGATATCCGGTCATTTTCTGTTAGGTCAGACTGTGAATTTTGAAAACAGAAAACAAATTCTGTTAGATGCAGCCATTATGTAATATTTTGCTGAAAATTGTGAGAGGAGGTTTAGGGGATATACTTTTCCTTGAGACAGAGGGAGCATCACCTGCACAATTTAATTTGGATGTGAATATTGGTAAATCAAAATATTAAAAAATGTAAAAATGCTTAGCCACAGGCCAAACCAAAAGATGAAAATTACTGCTGATTTGACAGAAACAGCCTACCTTCCTTACCCTAATTCTGAACCTGCTATCTAGTGGCATCTCATCATTGGAACTCAGAGCCTGGAAAGATACAAGGAAAATAAGGGGCGTTAGGGCCATAAATATCTCATTTGATTCTTAGGTTGATCTCTGGAGAGTGAAAGAAAAGATGTCAAAGAAGACATTGCACAGATATTCCAGACTCAGAGTATGATTGTATCTATGTAAATATAGGAGTTGTTTTTTTTTTTAATACAGAGTAGTTGCTCATGGGATAATGCCATGCAGTGCAACTTCCTGAGGAGACTTGCCCTACTTCTCTGCCAAGGGGTGTTCTGAGTCTCATCATAAATGCCTCTCATACCCCTTTCAGGCCTGTCTGGTACATACCAGTGAAACCATCCGGGTGCGCTATTTCATGGATCATCTCTTGGAGAGACGCAGACCAGTTATGCTGGTGGGAAATGCAGGCACGGGGAAGTCTGTGATTGTTGGAGATAAGCTGTCTTTCCTGGATTCCGAGGAGTACCTGGTGAAGAATGTTCCTTTTAATTACTATACCACCTCTGCTATGTTGCAAGGTAAACTCTCAGTTGATGTGGGGGAGAATGGCACAGTTTTGCCAAGGTAATTATTTAGATAGGAAAGAAATGTGCTAAGAGAAGTTGAATATTCCAGGCCAATCCGAAAAACATCAAAAGAAAAAACTGAAAATTCAGAGTGACATAAAAGTAGACTCATCATTAGTATTGATCCTACTTAAAAAAATACAATTTAGTTTGTTGTAATTCTTCTTCTTCTTACAACTTTTAATAAAAAAATATGTTAAAAAATTACAAAACACATAAAATTGAACTTAATTAGTATAACTCATAGGAAAACAGAATCCATTATTAAATGGGGAAATGTAATCCCAAATGTAGGACCCTAAATTCTGGTAATACATTACAGCAAAGGGCTCACATTCATAACTCAGCGCTTGTGGCAGAACAAGTAAATTTATGTCGCTCACAACAATATTTTGTAGGGCACTGATCTTGAAAAAAAAACAAAGCATGCCAACTAGGTAGTTAAATCAGATATTGGTCTTCTGGTTAATAATTAACTCTGTCAGCTAATAAATACTTTGATTTGCAACTCTGTTTCACACTAAAGATGTTTTATTTCATTAACCTATGTTTAATGGCACACTATGTACTTTTCATCTTGTTCATTTTTTCCTCACTAGACACTTTTGTATCAATGTATGAAAAGGCTTCAGTGTTGCACTCTTGAGCTAATGAACTGGTCTTCATGCAGTACATGTGACATTTTGATTTTGAGACCCTTGCGTTGCTCTCTGAGTCTGAAGAAAACTTAAACTGCAACTGACTAAAATCAAACTTTTAAAAGAGTTTTTTAACATGAGAAGCAGGAAACATGGGAGAGAATTAGCTGGGTCATTTAGATCATCATGATCTAAGCAAGGAAGAGTAAAGATCAATATCTTTTTCAATTCTGTTTTGATAGTGGAGCAGATCAATTCACTAGTTAATAATTTGAGCTATCTGAAGTATACCTTTCATGATCCCAATGTCACCAGGAGATGCATTTCCTTAGTATCGATGTTCTAAAGTTGAAGTTCTTCCAAGAAAACGTGGCTCTATCAGTGCTTCAATAATTTTATCAATATTCAGAGTACTGTCTCCAGTAGTAGCTCAGTGGACCATTCAAATGAACCAGCCAGTTTCTTAATGTGTTTGAAGACTTCACAGGAACAGTTCTCCAAGTTCTTTCATATCTAAGCACAGCTCATGTCAGCTTGATCCACTTTGCTGTGATTTTTCTTTAAATATGAAAATCTGTTGTTATCCATTTCAATGCCATGACTGTGCTGTTTTGAACAAATGATTTCTCATGGGAAAATGGGGAAACATAAGCTTTACCTTTTCTGTGGCAATCATTTTATCAATACAATGTTCAAACTGAACATATTTTATGGGGCTTTTATCTATAATTGAAATTGCTTTAATATTTGAGCATGAACAATTCAAAATTTATGCAGCAGCAGAAGAAAGAGTTCCACCTGGAATTATTTTGCAATGGAGAAAGCTGCAGGCAAATTGTCAGTTCCTGCAGCTTCTGCCATTCCTTAGTAATCCTGGCTACAATCTGGTTACAGTTGAATAAATGTCATAGATTAACCTTACTTGAATTGATGCCCTCCAGATACATTGTATTTCTGTAATGCCAGCCAGTATTTCCATGTTGAAGCCTGTCATACTGAGGATTGTAAAGAGAGGTCTTTATAACACATAGAGTGTTATTTGTTATTTATCCAGAGATTTGGGGCCTGTAGGAATAAATGTAGGTATACCACTTTTATTGTTCAGTGGCACCTTTTAGCAACCATCTAGATAGACTTTCTCCAGGATGAAATTTGGTCATTGTACAACAGAATTTCCTAATATATTAAATATAGTAATAGACAATGCCCAGAGCAGTGCATTGTGTGGTACTTCTTAAATGAATAAAAACCTGACCACAGATTATGGTACGTGTTTGGAGGAGTATATGAGATAGTACTACCTTGCATGTACTCAGTAAAGTTATACCAAACAGTTACAAAGATAATCTTCAGCAATACCAAGCCCTTATCTCATTTTTTAAAGTTAGCTTCTCCATTAGAGCTATTTTCAAACATTGTTTAGTCCAAACTGACACTGAAAGATTATTCCCTGACTTCCATACACCAGTTAAAAGTTATCCAGCAGCCACCAACACAAATATTATCAATTCTTTATGCAGCAAATGTACATTTCCCTCCTCAATTGCTGATAATAAGGCTAGCCTAGGGTCCCTTGTGTTAAATAAGGGAGAATCTGTACAATTTAATCTTACAGTACCTTTTGTATTATAATATAAATTATGAATGGTTTGGAATTAGCTCCAAAATTAATATGCTTAATCATAAAAATAGATAACACAAACTATTTTTTTCCTAAGGTCACCCTTTATAATATTTAACCCAGAAGTTTTTTGGACTTTTTACTTCAATAAATTGAATGAATGAATTTCCATATTTGTTCCACTATATGTCTACCTCTAATGAAACTTGTCTTTGTTAATATATTCAGGAACCAGTATTGCAAGTCTATTTGCTAAAATGTTTGTAAACATTTTACAGTCCTGATTAGTGAGAAAAATGGGCATGTATATGTCCATTATGTCTAGATTGGAATAACAATACTATTCATGTTTCTTTCCATGACTTTGGAACCTCTCCATCTTGCAAAATATAATTAAAAAGGAAAAGAGAATATTGAACTGAAATATCATAAAGTGATTAATAAAATTTCTCCAGTAACTATCAACCCTCAGAGCTGTATCAGATTTTATATCCTATATATAGGTTAATCTAAACTAATTAAGACATTCAAAGAATCATTATAATCTTGAGTAATATTAGTTAAATTTATTTAAATAATTTCTAATTTTGAATTCCTCATTAGGGTCTAATTTATATACTTTTTCCCCCAAAAGATTCCTTAAAACATACAGTACATTAATTTTGTTAGCATTATAAGTTAATCTGCTCTTAGAAAATTTAGTAGATAGATTCTGATTTTTCATTTTCTTATTTTTCAGTATGTAGAGTTTTTATTTGAAAATTCATAAATTTTTTGCTTAGCATATTGGAAGTTAAGATGCATTTTATTTATTTTTAAACTTCGAAAGGTTTTTTTTTTTGTTAACAATTCCTATAAATGTTATTACTACTAGTTGACTTGTGTTTAATCTGTGAATCAGAAATTTCTTTCTAAACTGATCATCTTTTTTCAGTTTTTTAATTCTACTATCTTCACCTGTAAAAAATCCTCTTGTAAATGCTTTCATTCTATCTTGGACCACTGCATTCAATTCTGTTTTATTTAAATTAATCTGAAAAAAGACAGAGTTAGTTCCACTTTAAATTCTAAGTCACATCTTCTTTATGAGATTCAAATGCATGATTGCCGGATGGAAAGGAAGTAACTGAGGGTAGCAGCTGGGAAAAACGGCCAGTGGAAACAGAGTATAGTTACCTAGGAACAGAAATGGTCTTTTTCCTAGATTGGGTATTGTCCTTCAACCTTCTAAGCCAGCACTACCTTCAGGAAGTGACTGTGGCTGTGCAAGGATTCAGGCAGAGTTTCCCCCCATCACCTATTACTTGATTTGGTTTTGAATTGGAAATACCAAGGATTGAATTGGAGACCCATATGCAAGGTAGATGCCCTAGCCGTTGAGAGATACTCCCTCCTGAAGCTGAGTTTTCATTGAACATCTATTAGGTGGGGCAGGCAGGGTAGAGAGAAACAGTTTTAAACCTCTGTTCTTTATGTTTTTAATGACATGATGCTCATTCCTTTAAAGAAGAGTTTCTCAGAATTTTGCACATGCCCCTGGATTCTGGGTCCAATGATCAAAATTCTGCTCAGCCCATATGACTGCAGCTGATAAATTTTCTCTTACTCTTATGTTTTAAAGAACACCTAGGCTGTCCTTGTTCTACCTTTCTTATAAACTACAGTGAAAGATACTTGTTATATCTTTGCAACAGCACAAGGACCCCTTTTGGGTCTCTACATTTAAGTGACGTGGGTATTCTGCACATGGAAGCAAGTGTGAATGGACAGATGCAAATAACTAAACACTGGGAAAGGTAACATGGGAGGACGGTTTGTGTAACATTCAGGAGTTTTTACAGATTCTTTGTATTATCTAACATGGTTATGATGCTCAGCAGATCTCCAGATGCAATTAGCAGTCAAGCATAAAGTAAGCCAGGGAAAATCCTGCAAAAGGCCACTGAGCTTCCTTGCAAGGTTTCTTCATGTATCAAATTTACCCCTGGAGAGTTCCACAGCCCATCAGCCTCTAGGAAGCACAGCAGATGCTTAATAACTCTAAATACAGTGACTGTTTATTCCTGTATAATTGGGATCTGTGTATCTGTGCTAGAGACATGTGGTTTATGATATTATTGTGAGAGACATTCTCAAATTAAAACACTGCTTTCACGAACATGTCATTTAATCTCTCAGTAATTGCATTTCAATTTGATGTATCTCTTCTACACTTGTTAAGACTCTAAAAGGGTTGTTTTCTATGTTAATTACGGACTAATTAAATGCTTATTTGAAAACCGTATCTCACTTCCAGAAATTTCAAAATTGTCATGGTGCTAGGTTGTTGAAAGGGGAAGATTCTGCGGAGACAGAGGTGTCAGCTTTCACCCAGCATTTCAGATTCTTTTATGCCCCAAACTGTCAAAAGCTGAGAAATCAGATATGTTGCATGGATGCTAAATGCAAAACAAAAAGTATTTTTAATAACCCATAAATATATAATCAGTGTAGTGAAAAGCAAATTATAAATCTTTTTTTAATTGTTTGCCTACGTGATGAAATTTATTGTAAAATACAAGATGCATATATTTGAAAACATTTTATTCTTGCAGGATTGTTTCTAACTAGCAGTGTTTTACTAAAATGTGGCAGAAAATAAAGTCTTCAGTTCTGTCTCCTCTTACTTGGAAGGTCAATGGGACTTCTTACTTCTGAATAAATGTATATAGGATTGTAGTTTAAAAGTCTTTACTATTTTATGTATGTGAAGCAGTACCAAATATATATTTTCAACCTAGATAAGTGCACCAGGTTAATATATATGTATATATATATATAGCAGTGGCTCTATATATTAACCTTTTGGTGCACATATGTTGAAAATAATATATTCTAGTGTGTGTGTGTTGAAACTATATACACTTCTACTGTCATCCATACATTATTATGTACTACATTTTGGGGGCCAGAATTAATATTAAAGCAGCAGTAATGGTGACACTTATGGTAAAATGATGCACCCTTTAGATAACGCATAACAGAAGCAGACCTCTGTCTAAAAAAGCAGCATGCACGCTTGTACTCATAAAAAGTTGAAAGGACTTAGGTATAGAGCGAGTTGCCTTTCAAGTGCACCGAGTGGTTCACCAAGCTTCACTTGGAGCTGCCCTGGTAGGAAATGAGGAGGATGGACCAGACAAGACCATTTTGTAAACACAGGCCAGGTGCCAGTGTAAAAAGAGTATGGCCATCCCAAAGAATGTGCAGGAAGAAGAAACCCAAGACTTAAATCTTAGGACATATGGAGACAGTTAGATTCTCAGATCTTCAGCTTCATCAGGACTGCTTGGTATCTGCAGTAAAGTTACTTGTCTATCCAAGCCTCATCCTCAAATTTCCTAATAAGCTTGTGAGAGTGTTTCTGCCCTGCTAGAGACGGATTTATGGCCATTCCCAGGGAGTGTTCCTGACATGCAGCCATAAACCTCATGGAGAGACATCCAGGGGTTCATTATTGCTACCTTTAGAACTTAGTCCTTCTGAAGCAAAATAAAATAAAATAAAACAAAACAAAACAAAACGCTATGTTTTTATAACCATTGATTTATTTAAGCTGGAGAGGGACAAACCTTTATTCAGATAAAATGAATGCTTAACCAAGTTTTGGCAGAGCAGCATTTATCAAGCTGAAATCATGTGTCCCTGGAATGCATCACTATATCTGAAGTGAAATTGAAAGTTGTACAACAGAAGCTTCTTACTAGTAATTGCTCAGCAGACCTATAGCAGTTTGGCACCAGACCCAATGGCTTTCTTCATTTAGTGACTCCTCAATGATTCCGATAAGCCAACATATAGTTCAGCAGCCAAGGATGAGCTATTTGTATATTGGATGAATTATACACTGTCCTGTAAAATCGTTACGTCACTGAAAATTGCAATCATGCTGCCAAAAATGGTTTATTAACTCATTCAAAATTTATTTTTCCTCTCTGCTCTTTAAGTCTTATCCTATCCTTACCCTATGCTGCTTTGATTTTTTGCAGGTGTGCAGAACATTTTTCTAGTTCCACCCAGGGAAATGTACTATATATCCAGCAAACTTGGATATTCAAACCATATTTTAGAATGGCTGCATTTAAGGATGCTGCCTAAGAGTAGAGCTAAATATAATGCAAATTTTAAAGTTATTCCCCAAAACAGCAATTCTACATGAAGAACTCACTTTCTACATTCTTTAAAACTTGCCGGAAAAAAATGTGACCTAATTGTATATTTCCCCATCCATCATGAACAATCGGTAATGTGGATGGAGAATGTTGTGAAAAGGAAAGGAAACAGGTTACAGGGTTGGCATTTTCAGTAGCAAATTAATTATTGGTGTAACATCTAGTTTCTTATTGTGTTCATTGTGCATCTTAATTAATTAGTTACTTTGTATCCTGCCTTGCTTCTAAGAACTCAAAGCGGTATAGATGGCTTTCCCTCCTCCAATTTTTCCTTACCACAATAACCAATTAGTAGTTTTGGCTGAAACAAAGTGACTAGACCAAAGTCACCCAGTGAGTTTTCATGGCCAAGGGTAGACTTGAACCTGTATCTCCCTGGTCCTAGTGTAATGACCTTAACCACTGCACACAGTGTCTTTATGGAGTTTGCACCTGCAAAGAGTTTGTGTGAGGAACTTTCCACATATGAAAAGTGTTTTGATGGGAAGATTTACTCATGGCCTATGCTTGGAGTCACTTCCTGCTTTCCCTCAGTTCTTCAACCATGACAACAGCTGTGTCAGAGTGAGCTGTCTAAAAAGGAAAGCTAAGGACTTATCTTTTTCCTTAGTTTGATTTCATTATTTATTGGTTTCTATCAGTATCTATTATTGATGTTTCTGTTTTTTGGAGAGGGGGTTGTTTAATTTCATGAGGATAGTAAAGATATGCACATGCTCCTAGTTTGGCAGCAAGTTCCCACCACTTGACAGCCACTCTAGTTGTTATTCCTTGAAGAAGGACAGTTTGTGGGTACCTGTGAGGAGAAATTGCTTATGTCTTTCCAAACTCCCTTGGGGGAGCAGCACTGCTAGCAGCAGAACCAGCTATAGCCAGTAACTGTGGAACTGTCTCCGTTTGTTCTATGCTGCCTTCTTTGGGACAACTAACACAGCTGTCATGTCAGTTACAAATCAAAGAATCTAGCAGTAGTCAACTGGGTATTGGCCAAAGAGCCCTGCTCTCCTGCACTGGACTGTTACATATGTCTAGGTGATGAAGAGGGGACAAAGAAGAAAATTTCCTCTAAACACAACTTAAGTCATTCTGAGAAAACAAACCAGCAAACAAACTGATTAGCTGAAATAGCAGCTTAGTCCGAACCTTTGGTATCAGCTACAAACCCTAGAGCTCCATTGATTTCAGCAATTCCCAGTGCCTCTCCTAGCATTGCTGACTCCAAGACAATTGGTGGGATTGGTGACCAAGGAGCTATCTTTGAGGAGATATTATAGATACATATCCTCATAAATACAGTTAACCTCAATGTTCTCAGAACTGCTCATTCTGAACCACTGATAATATCATCGGTCATTTGGTTCTTAGTATTCACTGGGGTTCTCTTCTGTCTTCAGTTAATCTGAGCTCAGTGTGTTCTGCATTTCCTGCTCTGCTTCATGGTCCCGATATTCATTTTGGGATGACAGTAGGGAGAACACAGTTGAATCCTATTTCATGTGCTTCCCTCCTTATTGTAGGAGGAGAGCTATGTTAGTTTGTGGTTGCAAAAAATCAGGAGTCTGGTAGCACTTTTCCCTGACAAACTAATTGTATTCAAATTAGATTAGATGTTTTAATTTTAACCATACAGCTGATTTTTTTCCTCCTTATGTTGACCATCTAAAACCAGCAAATCCTGTGCAGAGCTTTATGGTGAAAGTTTAAGCCCACACATATGACAGGTGGATGATCCAGTTTTCCAAATTGTGCATACTGTGGAAATGGTGCTAAAAGACATACCAGCCCTGCCTGCTCAACAACCTCACTGCCTTCTACCACCAAGCAGTTGGAATCTTTATATATGATTATGAAAAGATGCCAGTTGGTGTTGCATAACAAACACAGAACCATTAGCTACTACAGACCTTAGTGTACTACCTCCAATTTGCTTTCTAGTAATCCCTGTCTATTGAGCCTATGAATTCTCTTGGGTTGAACCTTTCCTATGCACAATTTCATGCTGAGAAGGCTTTTTGAAGCATGACAACATCTGAACCCCAAAGTGTGTTTTCATAATTCCTTGTTGATCAAATTGTTATTTTTTAATATACTTTTTCTTTCTCCAATGCCAACACTGATATGTTTATTACGTATATAATGTGTTTTTTGGGCTTTGACCTTTGGTCTCTATAAAAATGGCATTTTTTTAGATTTTATTTGTAATGGTGCTGGTCTCCTCCCAGTGGTTTTCTAAGTGGGTGGTGAAAGCCATTATATTATCATATGCATTAGCTAAACACCTATTTCCAGCATCAGTATAAGTTCACAATGTCAACATCAGTAGTTCTGTTCCAAGGATGGTTCATTTCAGCCTGTGTATTGTCAAAGGCTTTCACGGCCGGGATACGATGGCTGGTGTGGGTCTTCCGGGCTGTGTGGCCGTGTTCCAGAACACGGCCACACAGCCTGGAAGACCCACACCAGCCATCGTTCATTTCAGCCCTTTGCAGGGTGGCTTTTGGTCTCATCTGTTTATATTTGTGCTAGATTTAATAGTCCCTGTGCTTGAGTAATCTTGTTCTTTTTGGCATAAAAGAAGTGCCCCACCATTGTAAAATGAGCTAGCTTGTTACCAGTATGTGTGATACATAGAAGAACATGTAGTTTACCTGTAGCTATTTCTTTGGTTAGCTGTGCAATATCTGCGCACTCACTTCCCCACTTCTCCTCTGCAGATGCCTTCTTGAGTAAATATATTGCATTCTCATGACTGCTGTATCGAACTCTGGAAATGAGGGGAAAATGAGATGCAGACTTTTAGACATACAACGATAGGGTGACCTTCCTGCTCAAAATCTCTTTAGCTATGAAATGTTCATATAAAGCTTCTGTGCACAACTCCATGCTTGGGATTGTATAGATGACTACTTGAAGACCCAAAATTGCAAGTAGGCAGTCTGTTCTTCTATCTGATTTTTTTTACAGTGCTCACAAGATAGGAAACAACTTGTTTCTTCTATGAGTTAATAAAAAATATGGTTGGATGCCCTACCCTACATCCCTATTAACCTGCTGCTACTGTATTTATTCTTGCCCAAGATTTTAAGCATCATAACTATAGGTCTTTAGATTTGTGGCGCACTTCATGTAGTTCTTATTCACAGTTGCTGTTTATTAACCTGTATTTTATTAACCTATATTTATGTTTTCATGGTCTTGCCTGCTGCTGAAAATCTTCCTTGGTGAGGAATTATATGATGTGACCCAAACATCACTAGGCTTGATATTGGCATGATTTCTCTTTCATTGTATTTCCCTAGGTGCCTTATAGCTCAAGTAGATTAGTAAGCAGTCTGGCAATACTTACATTAAGATTTTTGCTTTCTAAAAATTCTGAGTCTTTGTTTTCTCATAGCTGTTCTTGAGAAGCCACTGGAAAAAAAGGCTGGAAGGAATTATGGTCCCCCTGGAACAAAGAAACTCATCTACTTCATTGATGATATGAATATGCCTGAAGTTGACACCTATGGAACAGTTCAGCCTCATACACTGATCCGGCAACATCTGGACTATGGGCATTGGTAGGTTAGGGATGGATGAATTTGTCTATTTTGACCTGAATCATGGTTTTACACATAACTGTATTTTGTTTCCACATAATCTACATTAAAAAACATTCAAAAGAGTTAGGATGCTAAGCTTGGGATGTATGATTTTGCTTCTGATCTGGATTACTGTTGTATGAGTTTATTCATAGCTCCATTGTGTTTCCTCCCCCTATATATACACACATGATTGAGAATGATGTCACAATCTTTGGGCATGAAAAAAAATCTGAGGAATGCCATAGCTAAGTTGGAGCAGTACATTAATTCAAGAGATGTAGTCAGGCCCTTTGGTATCAGCATTGACAAAGATTGAATTCCTCATACATCCCCATGGTAAGCCTCTTTATTTAGTGCAAAGCTCCCAGTAAAACTTCCTGTTCTTATTCTAACATTGCAGGACTATACAATGTGCAATCCTTTTCACTTTGTTTGGTATATATTGGCTTCTTATAAGTTCTTTTTTCCTCGAGGCAGCCTTGTTACTAGCTTTTCTTTTGAATGGGATGTAAACACTTGTCTTACAGCAGTTCTCTTCAACATCTTGACTGTGGGCATTGGTTCTTAGAGATGTATGTATGAACATCATAAGGAAAGAGATTAGTCCAGTCAAGAGGGCAAGTTTGTGGGCAAATGAAATATACTTTATCTTTTCTAAATTAAGTTTTAGACTGACTTCCATCTAAATTCTGGATGTTTGAACAAATTGTCTTTCTTTGTGCCACCATCTAGTTGCAATAGGACCAATGTGGGGCCAATGGTGATATTAAAAATGGCTTTAGTGCACTGGTCTTATCTAGAGGAATCATGATCATTATGGAGTGCATTGATATAATGGAAACATATGTGAATTCTAACCTCATCCGGCCTCCCTACCCTCAAGTTGTACAGTCTCTGTTGGAATATTAATTGAAAACAGCTGGGATACAGCAGGTGCCCAGTGCTCCTCCAACATGCTGCTTTAGACTTGGCAATGTCTGGCAGGCACACTGCTGTTGTCACTAATAATCTGTGATTAGAATGATGCATTCTTTTTTCTTTTTCTGGCAAAGGTACGACAGGAACAAGCTGTCACTGAAGGAAATCATGAATGTACAATACGTGTCATGCATGAATCCCACTGCAGGCAGCTTTACTATCAACCCACGTTTGCAGGTATTGCTTGCTGATCTAGAACACTACTGGTTTGGTTAATTATCTTCAGGTTTTTTCATGCTTGGTTAGACTGTGTCCAAGCAAAGAGAAGCTACAAGAATGGAATGCTTTATCAATCACAAATAGAAAACCAAAGACTTGAATGTAAAGACTTGAAAGGAATGGGATGGAATAGTTAACAGAAACTAGTGACTGGTTTTCTGGAATGATCGTAGTCTGTGTACAACCAACTCATTATTTTCTATATCCTTTTATACATTAGAAAACCATATCTCTGTGCCTCTGTATTAGGTCAATTGGGATATGATTTTATAAGGCCCAGCATAAGAGTATTTCAGCACCATGGACAGCAGCACATGGGTTTCCCCACCCCCACTCCATGCAATGAATGCAGAGTACAGGTAGTCCTCATTTAATGACCCTAATTGGGACCAACTCTGTTGCTAAGTGAAGTGGTCGTTAAGTGAAACATCACATGACCACCCTCTGCTTAGTGACAGCAGTTCCAGCAGTCTTGGTTGCAGTTGTTAAGTGAATCACCTGCATTTGTTAAATGAGACATCACGTGACCATGACTTGAGACCTCCTGCCAGTTTCCCATTGACTTTGCTTGTCGGAAGCCGGCTGGGAAGTCACAAATGGCGATCATGTGACCCTGAGATGCTACAGCGGTCATAAATGTGTGACGGTTGCCAAATGTCTGAATCATGATTGTGTGACTATGGGGATGCTGTAATGGTTGTAAGTGTGAGGACTGGTCATAAGTCCCCTTTTTTTCAGTGCCGTTGTAACTTCAGTCACTAGTTGTGGCTGGTATATGAAATGAGAAGTTTCTTGTTCAAAGGCTGAGGTGAATTTTTGATAAAGCTACTCTCTTTCATTCTCAGTCATCTGTATTACTAGTCTGCATCATGGGAACAATAATTGTAGAGATTTCTGAGCTCATTCTATAAAGACTTTTAAGCATGATTAAAGTACTATGCAAATGTTTATTTATTTATTTATTTGTTTTGTGGTTATCAGCTGTATTAGAGCTGTATAACTATTACTGAGTAAAGTTTTAATTACCAGGTCAAATTCTCTGCCGTTCCTCAGTTAACTCAGTGTTACCTTGTTTACCTATTATTCTCCTGGTAGGCAACTTGCCTGGTATTTGGCAATGAAGAATGAGTTGTGTATAAGTTTGGCCCTGGATTGTCACACTCTCTGCACCAGTGTCCACTTTGGCTTTTGCTTGTGAAGCATGGTGTGTAAGAACTTTGCCTAAACATATCCCCTTTCTCTTCTACACAATGCCTACTGATTTGTACTGTGTTTTCTTTTTTTATATTATGTTCTTGCAGCGCCACTTCTGTGTGTTTGCCCTCTCATTTCCTGGGGCAGATGCTCTCTCTACCATTTACAGTACCATCCTAACTCAGCACCTAAAATGGGGGAACTTCTCTGCAGCTTTACAGAAGTCATCACAGCAAGTAATACATCTGGCTCTTGCCCTGCACTTGAAAGTAGCAGCCACCTTCCTCCCAACAGCTATTAAATTTCACTACAATTTCAATCTAAGGGATTTCTCCAACGTGTTCCAAGTAGGTTGCTTTCTCTTTGGGGAACCATTTATTGTGGCTGTGTATCTGATTAAGAAGGCTAGATTTTGCAATTAAGTCAAATGATGTTGGCGGTGTACAACCATGTCCTCTCCAAGTGTCATCTTGCAGTTTGGCAAAATAAAAGTAAAAATGGCAGAAGGCAAGAATAAGAAACCTGTTAATAAGGTCAGTTCCTTTCTCTGTTGTGTGTGTGCTGGTGCTGTTCATTTTGGTCTGTGAGGAGGAGAGCAGACCTGCCAATTCATTTTACACATTGCATTAAGAATTTCAAAGATTTGAATCATATTATTCTTAATATGATTTGATTATTGTTACTTGATTAGTTTGATGTGTAATTCTGGCTATTGTGGTTTGTAAAAAGCCATCATTTATGGCTTTCATATCCACACATCTAGTTCTTCTGTTGTATTTCTAATAGGTATTAATTCAATATGATGTCAGCAAGAGAGTGGGTAGTGAGATCCTGTTCAGACTGCCTAGCATTAGAAAAGACGTATGATGATCAAACAGAAACTTATCTACCTCAGTTTTGAGAATAGGCTCTAGATAGCAATTGACTGGAGCAATTGACTGTAGATTATCAAGGGGATTTGAAAGATGTATTGTTATTGATATCCATAAAATAACAGGAAATTTCAAATCTTGTGGAAATAAAAAATGGGGATAAAATGAATCTTTTGCATTGTAATATACTTGCTATAGTTTCATTTTAAACCCTTATTGCAAAACCATATACAGGACCTTTTAATAGTAGAGTTCACCTCTTTCTTTAGATGAAATAAGAAATTTAGCTTCTGTTGAAATTGATTTTTATCACAAAATTGGGTTGAACCTCTGTTGAACCTCTGTTCGAGCCTCTGTTCTATATTTATTGGGCGTTTGTTGTAATGTTGAGGATAAGTCTGGCCCCTAATTATTGCCATCTTTGATCTGTTTTATAGTAAAGGGTTAGTTTTTAACCTGTATGCCACCCAGAATCACTGTGAGTTAGGTGGTTTTATACATGTGGTCTATAAATGAATGAATGAATGAATGAGAAAATAAATATTGCTATGATATATTCACATTGTAATATTATTGATTCATGAAATAAATTCAGGCTATTTTCAGTGGTTTCATGGTGCTGTGAAATACATATTCCTTCTCTTTTTTATATAATAGTAATTATTTATTTTAAAAACTTCTACACTTCTTAGCTCTTTCCAAATTAAAAAATCAGTGGAGTCATCTTCTTCACCCCATTTAATAATGTGATTTATGACTGCCTAAATGGCAGCTTCTTTTAATACACTATGGATGACCTATTTTAAAATGTGCACCAGGTAGCTTACTGAGGAATATTATTGATCATGATTATTGTTGCATATCGACTACCTTGTTTCCAATTAAAATAGAATGTGTGAAAAGCGGCCATAGACAGAAAAGCTAAAAATAATTTCTTGGGAATTTAATTTATTCAGGAAGTAGTTTAATTTAGTTTAGCAATTTTATTTATTGTCAAAGACCAAAATTGTTATATGACACAAATATACATATGTAAATATTTATAATATAATATAACATATATAAATATGTACTCTAAGACAGACAATAAACTAGTTAACAAATATAACAATACTAATGAATTACAGCCGTTTGATTTAACAGTTCCAGCATTAACCCCACATAATCCTTAGAGAAATTGTGACTGAGAAGAACTTAGCAACCTTTTTAGATATTTCAAGAGAGCAGTCTGCTAACAGAAAATACATTTTCCCCATCTGGCCAGTCTGCTTGGCCAGCTAATGAAGAATGCTAATGGAGAAAGCCAAGTTTGGTAGTTGGAACAATGCACAAGAACATACAGAACTGACTCTATTGATCCTTAGAAACGGGCAAGAGGTGATCTTGCTGAGCAATGTTACTACCATTTCCTCTTCAGAACCATAGCTAATATAACGCTGAATCTAGCCTGTGAGAAAGCTCAGTTAAACAGCCTCTCCACAGCCCACCTGTACAACAGTAGGAACAATCTCTTTGTAGATTGGAATCAAACACATGTTTTTTTATCTTCAAAGACACTTTCTCATAACCTTGTTGAAGCAGATACTGAGCTAAAAAGCCACAGAAATTTAAAGCTGTATCCACACTTTTCTTCCAAGAAGAAGAGAATTTATCCATATGAATTAAGGGAGAGTTTTTCATGCAATTTCTTTTTAACCAATATTGTAACAGCAAGATTGCACATGCATCCTTATAGAAGGAAGACCAGTTTCCAGGTGCAAAAGTGCCTTTGGAACATAGCGAAGGACTTGAAGTACTGCTATTAAAATATACTCTGGATTACTTTTAATGGTCTCAAGTTCTTATACAGACAAAACTGCATTCTTTGCTTTAAAGAGTTTTACTACTGCAGTGACACATTTACTGCCTCTGGGGCTGGCACATTGAGCTACTGCATTGGACTTTTTTTGTGCGTACATGCTAATGTTTTTTATTTTGATTATTTCATATTAAGGAAGATAACTCCTGAGTATTTAAAATTTTTCACTTGCTCACTGTTCAGTGATGCTAAAGAATATCTTCCAATGATGTATGCAGCTGCCGTGCCTGTTGGTAAAATTGGAAAAATTAACAATGTTAATTTTGGCATAATTGATATCTAATTTTTCTTTGCTGCAGAATGTTGCTAAGGCTTACAAACTCCAATTTAGGGTGACCTGGAATAAAGATAAAATAACTGCATCATCAGCATAGGAAAGGATAAATGTAGGCTTATTCACCAGCATTGGAGGATGGAATTCATGTTTGATCAAATGTGTGTGACAGAATTAATATAAAAAAGAATGAGGACAAGTATACAACCCTGCCTGTCTCATTTCTGGACAGGTATCCAATCAGATAATGCTATTTGGAGAGGTATACTTGACTTGCATATAATTATTTTCAAGGAGTATAATTAGTCCTAATAATCTGTAGTTTATCTAGAAGATCTGACATACAGTAGTCCATACATTCCCTTAGTATAGAATCAGATCAATAAAGGCGACATAAAGAGAATCTTGAAGTTAGTTAGAACATCTGCTAGGTGTTGTAAAACTACAGACTGGTCAAGTCTTGACTGTCAGTTTCTAAATCTGGCATGTTCTACAGTGAGCACATTCATTTGAGTCATTCAGTTCACAAATTTCCCATGTAAGCGCTTGGCATAAAATTTACAAATATACTTAAAACAGTAATTAGGTGACAATTGACCAGATCATTCTTGGCCTCTATTGTAGGTTCAGAGATGGCAACAGGTCCAGACATGTTGTGTTTGTTTAAAAATTGCTTTTATTCTTACACGTACAAACAAAATTACAAGAGTGAGCAGAACATCTCAGTGCATTACAAAACAGAGCACTTTCTAAAGTTATAGTTGTCTGCGAGTCCTTTAATTCGAAGTGCTTTTCTATTTCTTAAGTTCTTAAACTTCACTTATGCTACTTCCTTAACTTTGTTGTCCCTCTCTTATCTTTATTCTCAGTGTTTTATTCTTATTCCTCAGCTTTTCTCTGTAACCTATTTTGTTTTGATTATTTAGATTTGTATCTGTTTCTGATCTTTACATTCTTCTGTGACTTATTCTTTTCTCTCTATGTGACTGCTGCCTCTTGATCCTCTAATGCATTTGTTTGATTCATTTCCATTCACTCCCTTCTTCTCTCCTTACATTCCTCGGGGTTTCCTTTTTCCTTTGGTGCTTTGCCTGTTGTATTTCCCCTTTTTCACTCTACTAGACTCCAGGGCTCCTCCTTTCACTGTTAATTCTTAGATAGCTACTTATAATTTGTTGGTAGATCTGCAGCAGTTTCCCTTTACCCTCCACATTTCAAATGGATCTTCTCAGTTGGGCAGCTTTAGGGAGACTAATAAATTGGGTTGAAGCTTTCTCTGATTCAGTAGACCATCTCATCTAGAGGGAATGTGGCCAAAGTGGCACCATTTCTGCATTTATACTCTGGCCTACAAGTCTAAACTGGTTTTGCAGTAAGTTGAGAATGGTTGCTGTCTGGGCAGAAATCAGTCATAAAGTCTACAGTGCTGATTAATAATTGTGAAAATATTATCATGCAGTTGATAGTATTGGCAGCTCTACTACTCCAAAAAGTTTCCCTTTGGTTTCACCCACAACTGATCCATTTAAAATAAGATAGTTTTCCTCTCTCTAACATGGGAGCACAGGGCTTGACATTAGTTCCTTCAACCCTACAGTTTTATTTCTTTTAACTGTGTTATCATAGCTATTCCCTCTTCAAAGGTATGTTCTTTTATCTTTGTCAGTTTTGATAGAGTGGATGTATTATTATATCTGCTACACTCCTGTTGTGTACTGCTGAGCCATTTCAGCTTAAAAATCAGAAATGGGGAAAATGAAGAAAAAAATCAAGAACAGGTTTGAAACACACAAGTCATAGGAAAGCACTTAAACAGCTTAAAATAGAGGATCTGCTGTCACTAAATGGAGGCTTAACTGTAAGCGATGATATATTTCCACTAAGTGATCAATTTGAACTACTGAACAAAGAGAGTAGGAGAGGATAGGTAATAATACTCCCCCAATTTCTGATTAAAGACTCCACTTCAAAGGAAATTCAAACTGGGGCAAGCCTCAGAAATAATGATAACTCAAACAATGTTAAGTTTGAATTTCCACCTGGATTTCTTGGCAAAACAATGTATATTACCTGTAGAGACTGTGTCTTAATTTTTTAAAAAAGTTATTGGACATTGATGAGAAGCTGGACAAGATTCACCATTCTCTGAATAGACTTTGGATGGCCAGATTGGTAAGAAGAATGAAGTAACTTCTAGAACAGATTTTAAAGTTCAGATTGACAAAAGAATTAATGTGTGTTTGATTGCTAAGACAGGAATCACATAGCTTCTCCATAACAGGACTTCCCCTGTGATATGTTGCGAAGGCTGGAGAATCTAAAACAAGCATACAGTGAATTACCATCAGAAGTTAGTTCTCTTAAATTGTACTAGATCCTAATGTATCATCAGGAACAAATGGAAATGAGCACTTACACCATTTAAGCTATAAAATGCTGATTGATTTGATTCCATATGATTTTGTTGGGACAGATTACCCTGGGTCTTTTATCTATCTTCCCCAAGATTCACTTCTATCCCCACAATTATGATAGGTGTGTGAAGAACTTAGCTTCAAGCAGTCAAGGATGGGAAGCACTGATACTAGTGAAACTGGTAGGGGGCCCTAACAGCTGCCAGAATTTGCATAGTCCACAAATATCAGAGCAGGAAATCAGAAGACATGGTGTCTAATGTAAAGTCCTTAATCAGAATTTCAGGAACAAAGAATAGCAATTCGGTGTCTTCATGCCTAAAAGAGGTATTGGGGCTGCTTTCTTCATTTCAAGAGAGGGCAGCTACTTAATAGGATCAACTGAATGGCTGAGGTCTCTAGAGGTATATTCTGAAATTTCCTGGACTGTAGCAGGCTGGTGCTCTAGGAAGGGTAACCCATCTTTCATCTTATTATTAAAATATTTGACAATATTTGTTTAGATGGTACCTGGGAATGAATGATCTTTGAGTTTAATACTTATAATTCATTTATATTGCTGGGTGTATCGGCAAAAGGAGATGTTTACACTTTATTTTCAACCAGTTATACCGAAGTATCTCCTTACCCATTATGTATGGTTCCTTAATATTAGCTATTAACCTGGATTTAGGATGACATTATTTACTGTTAATTAATGTCTTCTATCCATCCTATAAATATATCCCAGTTGGGATATATTTGAGGAGTATCTTCTGGGCTTGATGTTAAGATATTGAGAATCTGAGCTAATTCTGGTGGTTGGTTTTAGCAGACTCTGTATGCCCATTATAATCATTTGTATCTTCTGATTGACAGATCATTCCACTGTATCAATTAAATGATAAGGGACCCAGTTATGGAGGATAAAGGCTAGCCCCACTCTCTCTTATTCAGAATGTAATGAGTCCCAGATTTCCAGAGCTGTTGGTCTGTTTCAATGACTGAACTTTGGATCATAAGATATAAAGAAGTGTGCCATATAAAGAAGTGTGCCATATAAAGAAGTGTGCCATATAAAGAAGTGTGCCATTACCAGAGTGCCATTACTCATAATTGGAGGGCTTTCCCTTATTGCTGAGCAGCCATAAATTATTCTAACATGGCTTGGGTTAGGGAGGTTGGGATATAAACTGAAGCTGTGGCCTCATTGCTTCAGTTCTTTTAGAAACTGTAGTACTGGATTTGCCTGTTCTCTTGAACAAGACAGCTTTACTCATATCACACACACTTCCCTTGGATTTATACGATGGGGTTGTGCATTGTAGATTTCATATGGTTAGTTGCTATAGAATAAAATCCCAAAGTGTGTTCTTTGTGCTTCATCTCCAAAGAGGATTAATAATTCCAAATGTTCCCACTTAAAAAGTACCCTAATAACATGTCTTTAAACTTGGCTAATTCATTTAAATGCTTTTTGTTGAAGAAATGCTTGCTCGTTTACAGTCAAACTTTCAGCCTTTAGAATGTTTGAATTAGGATTAAGAAATAACATGTTTTAAATACATGTCATTAAACCAATAAGTATGGTTAATAGATATAGTTAAAATGTATTTCCTTTTAAAGGAGACACCTATTTGTACATTCTAAAGGGCACATTGTAAACTTGCCATAATTACCTGGTAACAATTAATACAAGCTCTAAGCAGCATCCGCCTTGTTAAACTTTCTTTTTTTAAGTTATCACCACTTAGTCTAATATGTCAGTTCTTTTTCTTCCTACAAAAGAACAGGAAACTTTAGTAACGTGGTTAACTTATAACTTAGGGAGAGATTGAATCTGAGGCAATAATGTAGCCTCTGTCTTTGCAGTCTGTAGTTTCAGTCAAGACAGGACAAAGAGTTTACTGAACTACGTAATCTACTATTAAACCATTTGGGGAATCCTTGCTTAATTATTACTGGATAATTTCATTTCAATCAGAAATGTGCATATATATTAGGGCTGCAGTCTTTGTTGGAACTGAACTTACTAGAATAAGATCCTTCTTTTCTTTCCAAACATTTAAGGAGTTTTTTTTTAAGGCTATTCTCCTTCTTGTACAAACATAATTAACCATTATGATTTTGGTTTTATTTGCAGTTTGTTTCTGAGTCTTAGCTGAAATGTAAAATCAGCCACTCTGGAGCAATTTCCCCCCTAAATCTGAGAAAAGAATAAACATTTAAAATCGCTTCACATTGACTTGCTACCTCTCAATGCAACCCTTATTTATGTTAAGTCACTTTTGTTTTATTATCTATTTTAACATGATGAAATTTCATTGTACATTTTCAATATGGAGTGGCAGTTCTCCTTGTGTCATTGAGTTTAGAGCTGGGATGAATAATTAGGTAAGAAAGTGAAGGTTAGGAACTTGCATGTTACTTTTGTCACATATCCACATTTTGTACATGTACTGATGCCTTATTTATTTGCTTGCTTGGGATTGAGCTATCATGTACAGAGACAGCTTAAAATGGATGAATGCCAGTTCAGTGTATGTCACAGAAATCAAGAGTGGTGTGGCAGGCTGGAAGTGACACTGCTGGAACAGCCATATGGATCTGTTGTGGTTGCATGGCTAGTCCACCCAGACAGCAGATTGTGTCATCATCTGCATTTCCTTTCCTCAGGGTATTTTGTTTTCAACTCCTGAATGTTTGAAGACTCCTCAGGATTTAGTAAAGCTATACTTACATGAATCCAGTCGTGTTTACCGAGACAAGATGGTCGATGACAAGGATTTGGTCGATTTTGATAAAATGCAAGCAGAGACAGTGAAGAAGTTCTATGATGTAAGTAAAGTAAATCTGGTTCAGCCACTTACCAAAAACAAAGTGAGTAATATGTGCATTGCAAAGAATCAAAGCCTCATGTACTACAGAGTTATATATTATATGGTTCCTCCCCATCATAAAGAAGAAAAATTGCACAATTTAGAAACCATTTGGAGTGTTATGGGGTGCCCTGCTTCTCTGCCATAGGAACTGAAACTTTGGGATGAGATAACTCTTTGAAACATGAGCGTGCATATCCTGGGGTTGACAAGCAATCATTACACAGCAATGCAAAAGAGAAGTATATGTTCTGTATTGTCTGCAGGAAGGTGGGAAGATCCTGGGTATTACACTGTATCCATCCTTCTCCCCAGAGTCTAGAGACTACAGGGGCTGATGGTTGATAACATTTTTGTTTGCTGCATCTCTGCTGCACTGGAACACTGTGTTTTACTCTTCCTCTTCTCAGGACATAGAGGAGACTTTGGAACAGACCAAGAAGATGAATATGTACTGCCATTTTGCAAAAGGGATAGGGGAACCCAAGTACATGCCTGTCCAGAATTGGGAATCATTGAGCCAGATTCTTGTGGAAGCCTTGGAGAACCACAATGAGGTCAATGCTGCCATGAACCTGGTGCTGTTTGAAGATGCCATGTGCCATGTGTAAGGGGAGTTTTGACTTTCAGACGCTTGTGAATTTCCTTAGATAGGTACTGGGTGGTATCCACAGAGGTAGGAACAATGGGTGACCTACAAAGACCTGAATTCTCTGTTTGCACAAAGGATCTTAACATACTTTTCTCAGTCTTTCGGCTATATAAAAGGAAGGGTCCATGTTTCACCGGAATATTAATACTCTTTAATAGATTGTTGTCCTTCTAAACGAGGGGATGGTGGGATCTATGCTTGCAAGAGTACATGAGGGCCAATAAAAAACTGATTATTTTATGTAGTTATATTACTTGTCAGCCCCTATCCCAGGATTTAAGGACAATGCATTCAAGAAAACTAATCACATATGAAAAAATGTACCTGTCTATATTCTCCGATATGTTAATTTCCAAAATGCAATGGTTGTGTTTCAGTCTTAAGTGGGTTTTATCCAAGAAACAAATAATCTAAGATTGTCTTGAGCGCGTGTACTTTAGAACAGTTTACTACCCTCAGCTTATCCTCCCAGCTGGTACAAAATGATACTTCTTCCATTAGAAACAAGCGCAAAGGGCAGGCTAACTGTTTCTGCAACTCCAGGCAGCAAATTCAATCACTCTCACAAAAGCAAACAATACGCACAGCCCTTAGTCCTTGCTGCTTATATTTTCTGTTGGAAGTGAAGCATCCTTTCACTTCCTACGCCAGAGGGCCTTGCAGTTTAATACAATCGCAGTGCTGTGCGTGCTCCAGGGCTTTTATTCCGTTTGGTTCCTAGCAAACATTTCATCTTCAGCGGCTCAGTGTCAGCCAGGCTGTATTAGGACCTGGTGTTCAGGGTTCAGGAGCAGGTGCCCACAGTGAATTTGCATGCTAGGCTTCTAAAATAAATTCTTCTTTCAGAGGCTCTCTGCCTGTTGCTCAGGCACCCCGTTTGCTCTAGACTGTTTAATCCTACCCTTGTTCTCCCTTGAGCAGAAAAGACTGAGAACCAATGTGCATATCCCTTTAGAGGGCTTAACTTTCAATCTGCACAAAAGAAGGTTTGGATTTTTCATCTGCCTAAATTAATGTTCTCATCTGGCAGGGATCTATCTGTCTTTCTGTATGTCTGTCATCTATCCATATCTCTCTGTCTCATATAAGGCTGTCCATTTATCCAGCAAAACTCCAGATGGCAAAGGAAAAGTGAAAAACATCAATAATTGTAAAACAAACAAATCCAGGTCAAGGCCTTCTCATTAAAAATCTTGAAGGACCCCACACCACACATCCCTACCAGAGCACCAGAAATGTATAGCCTAGCCCTGATGCCGGTCTTCATAGCTTTCCAAAATGCCAATAAAGTTGGGGCTGTCTGTATCTCTGGGGGGAGGCTGCTCCATAGGGTAGGTGCCATGACAGAGAAGACACTTCTTAGCACCCACCAGGCAAGTAATGTGGCCCCATGTTATGCAAGGATGACAATCAGCACCTTGAATCGCACTCAGAGGCCTGTTGGGAGCTAGTGTAGCTCTCATAGCAGTGACGTTATGTGGGTATCCTCTTGTGTGCTCAACACGGCATGTGCTGCTGCATCCTGGATCAGCTGAAGGTCCTGAATGCTTTTCAAGGCAGTTTCATGCAGATCTCATTGCAATAGTCCAATCAGGAGGTGACTATGGCACGAGTAACTGTGAGCAGTGCCTCCCAATCTAGGGATGGCTCAGCTGGTGCCCAAGATGTATTTGTGCAAAGGCTTTTCTGGCCACAGCTGCCACCTGCTACAGTGTATGCCTCACTGAGAGTTAATATGGAAAATCATCAGATATGGGGAGCCCCAAAACCCACAGTTGCTCAGGCTTGTCAGGGGTGGGCTGAAGCCTGTTCCTCCCCATACAGATCCACCCAGCCTCCAGGTACTGGGAAAGCACTTTGGCAGCATCACTTGGATGGCTCAGGGCAGAGAAGTACAACGGAGTGTCATCGGCATACTGATGAAACTCAATCCCATGCCAAGGGATAACCTTATCTGGTAGTTTCATTTAGATATTAAATAGGAGTGGGGAGAAAGTTGAATCTTGTGGCATCACACATAGCAGAGGCCTAGGGCTGGACCTCCCTCCCCCCTATCAACACCAACTGGAAGTGGCATGGAGGAAGGAGGAAAACCACTGAAGAACAGTGCCACCCACTCCCAGCTCCCTCAGCTGGTTCTGAAGTGATAACTGATGGTATCAAAAGCTGCTCATAGATCAAGAAGGGGCAGAATGGGTACACTACTCCATCCCAAGCCTACCAGAGGTCATCCACAAGTATGATCAATGCCATCTCAGTGCTACATCCGGGCCTGAACCCCAACTGCAATGGGTTCAGGTAATCTGCTTCCTCCAGAGCCCTTTGAAGCTGCTGGTTATCCCTTTCTCAACAACCTTCCCTAAAAAGGGAAGGTTGGAGACTGGATGAAAATTGTCCAGAACAGCTGGCTCTAGTGATGTCCTCTCAAGGAGAGGGCTGACCATCATCTTCTTCTAGCCAGGCAGAACCACCCACTCCTGTAACAAATCCTTTTCCATCATTTGAATTTGGCTACATGTCACCCTAACTAGCCAGAAGGGACATAGTTCAAACACATAGAAAGTAGAACTCAACATTCAAAGGACCCTGTCCACTTCCTCAGACTGCACCACTCAGACAGTGCTGTAGGTGTCTCTTGTGCTATTTCATTTCCTGAAGCAGCTCTGAAAACCAAGGGGGCCTCTAGGATCTGTGCTCACAGAATCCATACAAGTTCAATCCAATCCAAGGCTGTCATCACTTGCTCATTCCAAGCAGCAACCAAGACCTCAGCCGAACCATGCACCAGAGCTTTAGGAGCTACCCCAAGCTCCCACTGGAACCCCACTGGGTCCATCAATCCCCTGGGGTAGATCAAGTCAATAGGTCCCTCTGCCCTGCTGTGGGGAACAGCTTCAGAGAACTCCAAGGCTAATGGAGTGATCTGTCCATCTTCCAAGTGAAGGCAGTTGAAATTCCCAGCAGCATAAACCTAGGGAATTCTACCACCAACATGGCTATGGGGTTAAGCAATTCAGGCAAGGAAGCTACTGCAGAGCAGGGAGGTTGGTACACAAGCAGCAGTCCCATCTGATCCCTTCAGCCAACTTCACAAATAAAGTTTTGCATTCAGCTACCTGCAGGGTAGCACCCCGGAAACCCCCAGAGTTTCCCAGATGAAATGGCCACACCCTCATACCTGTCCCAGAGTCTTGGCTGATGCCACACCCAAAACCCATCTGGGCACATTTCAGAGAGGGTGACACCTCTCCACACACATCCAACCAGATCTCAGTAATCCATGCCAGGTCAGCTCTCATTCACAATTATATTGTGGATGAGGGGTCTTATCATAGACCTGGCATTCAGACAGACCCGAGGGACACTGAAGCTCCGATGACCTTAAGGCTGAGCACAAGAGGCTGGAACTTGGCATTGGTACTAAACACTGAGGCCACCTTCCCTAAGAACAGCCTGCCCCCTGTGATATTGGTCTGATCTTTTCACTACTAGCAAAGTTATTGGAGCACAGATACTAGAAAGATTACGTTTTCACATTCTGTACTTCATGCCAATAGTTACTTCTGTTGATGGTGAATGAAAAGGTAGACTTCCTCAAGCTTGACTCCTAGTGCTATGTGGCCACATTCAGGCAACAATATGGTTAGCTGTTTCCTTCTTCTTGATGTTTTTGTCAACTTCCTTGCCTGAGATGTTATGGACATCTCCCATCCAAGGACTAATCACTCTGCCTTTGCCTAGCTTTTTCAAGAGAGATCAGCTAGGTTCTGTCCCTCACTGTGGCCTACAGTGAGTGGCAGAAGCAAACCACAGATCCATTTAATACAAGCAAGGCAAAATTGTACCTGGATTGAAAAGCAATGGCACAAAAGCAGTCGTAACAATTTGGCCTCTGCTCATAGTCTGGAAAATCAACTGTAAGCATGCCTTTCCATTTAAAATGTGCACAATGATCTTTTTATAGGTTCTACATTAGGAAAGATTATTTATTTAAACAGTGAGGGTATTTTGGCTGGCAGCTTCATACTCCAGCGTTCTTTGCCTAAGGAGACATATCAAAATCTATCCTTGTAACATTTTCAAAATACATAAAATATTTCTTATTCGTCTTTTTAAAACATGCTTATTTCATATGAGACTTAAAAAAAAAAAATCCTAAATTTCTGTATCTTCCTGATTTTATTTCTACCTCATTGACAGCATTAGCTTATTTATAATATTTGGGTTTAGTGCTTGTGTGTGAGCTTTGTTTTTAATGCTGGTTTATGCTGATCTGAAAGCTTCAGGTCATTAAAAAACAAAACAAGACCTTCAAACTTGATATGGTATGAATTGAATGTTAGACCCAGAAGAAAAAATAGAGTGCTTAGTCCTTGAATCTCTGGCTCAGAAGTTGATATCCATCTTTGCCAATCACTAAAAGATTGCCCTGCATGCCCTCATTTTAAATAATTGCTGGATTTTGTCAGAATTGCTTAAGAACAATTTTTTGGTATGCAGGTAGTCAGATATTAGTGATATTATGTATCACAAGAATGACAGGGATGGAAGAGATAGTTTATTCTGTGTGTGTGTGTGTGTGTGTGTGTGTGTGTGTGTATTTCATTGTATATATGTGTGTACAATATAACACAATGAGACAAATTCTTTCCAGGCATTAGGAAAAGAAAACATGGAGAAAAGATGGGAAAATGCACTCTGACATTTCCATGTTGTAGGGAATGATCTGAAGTGAGAGGACCATCATGTTTGACTGCATCCAGTTAGGATTTCTATGCATTGAAACTGTGTAACCAGGGTTTCCATTCCCATAGTGATTGCAACTTGGTTAATTAGAAGCGGTCTTCAACCTTCCCAGTCAACATGGGGAGATCGAGGTTGGATCATGTACCTTTCATACCTTCCCCCTTTCTCCCCCAGGCTTCTCAAGAAGTATAAAAATGTGTGGGCAATAGAAAGAACAATATGTCTCCGGCCAGAATGCACTGTTACGTTCCGGTGATTCTGATGTGAAGGTTTAATTCATTTGATTCAATTTAATTCAATAAGTAGAGAGGGCTTCCGAAAGATTAAA